TTTGCCCATCAAAATCGATAAAAACTTGCATAATAGGGCTGTTGACGGTCTGGTCGCGAATATTGCTCACGAGTGTGGCACTCTATTTCCGCTGAGCTCGGCAGCACGGATGAGCAGTGTGCCGCACATTAGCGCTGATGCCGAGAATGAATGCCACACTTTAGTGGAAAATCAGTTGGCGGTAAGCAGGTGCCCACTGGCGCCAAATGGCGTCGCGAATGCTTAAAGACAGCTCTCGCGATAAAAGTGTCAAGGATAATTGCTGATCAATTATGAAACAGTAGCTGATAAGTAATTCCCCAAAGAAGAAAAAAGCAAGAAGAGTCCTCAAGAACACCATAAACAAAATCGCTCCCTGACAGTCACACCTCCCTGCGGTCTCTGTGCAACCCCTGGCTCACAAATCCCTTTATCACATCTCCCAGTAGTGGATGTCATCCAATGCAAAGAAAAGAATACGAAAACAATAAAAACTCGGAAGAAAAACTCCTGAAAGGCAAAAAAACTTAAAAACACGGCGTCCGAATTTGGGTTACGGTAGCGAGCGGCTTTTAGTGCATGTTGCTAGTCGAGCTTTTGCACCACAAAAATTGCATCACTCGTGATTTTTACGCGTTTTACCTTACGAGATGGGTTGCATTTGACTGTATGTGCTCTCAATGAATGAAATGTGATAAAGGAGAGCAGAGTTATCTAAGGGCACCATCGCGGTCTGCAAAAATGACTTGCAATCCCGAGTATTGCCCGCCGTCCCAACAAAGAACAACTGAGCGGCTCTCCGTCAGAGGGCAGCTAGCAAGTGAGGCGGTCCAACTGAGCGGGCGTTAGAACTAGAACTTTGAGCGGCTGTAGCTCGCTCCTCGCTCACTGTGGAGTCGCGAGAGTGGGACAGCATCTAGCTTGGGGGCTGAACTACCTGCACAAGGAAGGACGACCATGGACTACTTGAGCGGGGGGCTGTCTTCAACACACATGCATGCTCTTCCCACTAAATTTAAAACATAGTCCCCTGGCATTTCATCGATTCATAAAACATCATATCTTTGTCCAGATTTGAGAGATGTATCGTGAATTGTAGTGCTGGAGAGATGGTCCCAATATCGACCTCTGTAAACATTGATGGGATATCACATGTCACAAATGATAAAGCCTTCATAACGAACCTTCTGCCCAATGTCGCTTCCACCAACATCTTACCGTTCCTGCTACACGCATATAAATAGGGTTACATTCCCTTTCACGCCGCTGCGAGGTAGTGTGACATTGATAGTGGATCAGGAAAAAGTGCCGAGAATCTGATGAGGGGCATCGGAAAGGAAACATTATTAATGGGCAGGCATACCCAAATTTTATATGCATTGGTGCAGTCCGTTTGAGGACCTGAGCCTAAGTTCTCCGAGTGAAGCAATACTGATCCAGATGGAGACTTTCAAATACTGTCGATTGATGCGTAGCAAATACCACCGAGCGATAACTGCATCTATACACTCTACTCCACGCTTTCCCGTCTGCTATTCATGTCTCTTCTATTCATGTCTCTTGGAGAAACGTTCTCGACAGCTTCCTCCATTTGCCCCTATAAGGCTGCGTTTATACTTTACGGCAGCGTACGCCAGCTTACGCTAGTGTTTCCAGCGTACGCCAGCGGCAGTGTCGGGGAAAGGATAGATATCGATGCATTTGCGACGTCGCACAAGGCGCCCACCAGCGTGGCGAATCACGGTTGCCTTGTGACCTAAGTGCGTCGCTTCCCATGTTGCAAATGCGACACCATTCCATGCACGCCTTCCCTTTTAGGGCCCCACTCCTCAGCGCACCTCCGCATGCTGCAGTATGACGCCCCTGATGGTTATCTACAGGGATTTTGATGAAAGGTAGTTACAGTATAACTGATAAAGTAATTACTGTCTCTCCGTGGAAGCTCATCGGTCTCTACATTCAGGTGGGAAGTTCTCGAAGGTGAGTAGGAGGAGAGGGGGCGTTTTTGTCGCTGCGGAGAGAGGGGCATCGTATTTGGTCTGAGAAAAAATTTTTGATAGTTAATTTTTCCTGTTTCACGGACGCCTTAAAGGGGGGGGGGGTCGCATTTGGTCGCTGTTGATGAGCTGGGGTTGTATTTACTTCTGGCGGTAATGAAAAGTTTTTTCCGGTTGTGGAGTTTTCGCGGTTTTCCACCTTAACATGTGATATGCACCGCCCTCGCTCTACTCTCGAGAGGAGGGAAGGTCCTATCGAGCCATCATTGAGGGGGTGGGGGGAGAGTCGTACGGACGTGACCAAAATTCCCAACTAACGATGAGCCTGTCTACATATCTCCCTTTTTCGTCTTTCCAACAATCGTCACCGTCTCCTTCGCCCTATTATTTCACCTTTTGGAACCAACGTGTCACTGTTACAGTGGCACGCCTTACATATTTACTGACCTCCCACCCCTAACACCCCTTGTCAGTTTTTATGAGATTGACGCTATACCACTACTGATTGAGAGGTACTGAGGAAGTCGTTAACGCTCACTGACGCTGTTTGGCGGCATTAGGCATCCTCTTGGTGCCATCACCTTTTCATCGACATCGACTAAGCTTGCATCATAGGGTTTTTGAATGTACAGGTGACTCTCTTTTAGTCACTGGCATCCAATTCTCATCAACAGACGTCAATTTT